ATGTATTTGTTATATTCTAAATCAGCGTGACCAAGATCTAAATTTGAACCTAAAGCTGATAAAGGTATTTTTGTTGGATACTCATCTATTTCAAAGGCTTTTCGTGTTTTTCATATGAACAGGCAATGCATTGAAGAATCAATTCATGTGAAGTTTGATGAGGAATCATACACTGATGAAAGAGTCACTCATTCTTCCTCTATTTTTCAAGAGCTTCTCTCTTGCCCATTTGACGAAGCTCCTCTTGCTGGAGATGAAGCTGATATTTCTATTCTATCGTTCCAGTTCCATGGTCCTTGAATCAAGATACTTCAGCCAGATCATCAAATAATTCATCAGGTGCTGATGAAACTCTTGAAGCTGAAGATTCTCCTACAACTGATAACTTGTCAGTGTCAAATTCTCCGGAATCAGCATCAGTCTCTGAACATCGATATCATCCTGTTGATCAAATTATTGGGAATATTCATGATGGTGTCCGAACCAGATCTCGTGTTTCTAATAACTTTTGCATGTATGTTAATTTCGTTTCAATGATCTTACCTGACAAGATACACACAGCTCTTCAAGATGCTGACTGGATTAAAGCCATGCAAGAAGAACTGAATGAGTTTGAAAGGCACAAAGTTTGGACTCTTGTCCCAAGACCATCAGGAAAGACCATCACCGGAACTCGCTGGGTCTATCGCAACAATGTTGATAAAGATGGAATCATTACTCACAACAAGGCAAGGCTTGTCGCTCAAGGGTTTACTAAAATTGAATCCATCGACTACGGAGAAACCTTTGCTCCAGTTGCTCGCATTGAAGCGATCAGACTGTTTCTCGCATACGCATCCTACATGAATTTCATTTTCTATCAGATGGATGTGAAAACAGCCTTTCTTCATGGTGTGTTAGAAGAAGAAGTTTTCCTCAATCAGCCCCCAGGCTTTGTTGACAAAGATCACCCTGATTATGTGTACCGATTAGACAAAGCTGTTTATGGACTGAAGCAAGCACCCAGGGCTTGGTATGAGACGCTGACATCGTATCTTCTTGAAAATGGATACAGACGAGGAGCAATCGACAATACTCTCTTCATCAAAAACAAAGGCTCAGACATGGTTCTTGTTCAAATCTATGTCGATGACATCATTTTTGGCTCTCCAAATGAGACACTGAGCAAGGAATTTGCAGAGATCATGTCTCAAAGGTTCGAAATGAGCATGATGGGAAAGATGACCTTTTTCTTAGGTCTTGAAGTTCAACAACAAAAGTCAGGTATTTCTATTTGTCAAAGTAAATATATTTCTGACTTGCTTGTTAAGTATTCTCTCAGTGACTGCAAACCAGCCTCTACTCCAGTTTCCAAGACTGACAAGATTCACGCTGATCCAACTGGAACTGATGTCAATCACTCTCTGTATCGAGGAATGATTGGATCTCTTTTATATCTCACGGCAAGTCGTCCTGACATCATGTTTGGAACCATTCTCTGTGCTCGATTCCAAGCTAATCCCAAGGAATCCCATCTCATGGCCGTCAAACGTATCTTTCGATACTTAAAAGGAACTCAAAATCTAGCACTGTGGTATCCTCGCGACTCAGCATTCGAACTCTTTGGATACACTGATTCAGACTATGCAGGATGCAACTTAGACAAAAAAAGTACGTCTGGTGGATGTCACTTCCTTGGAAATCGTCTCATCAGCTGGTCTAGCAAGAAGCAAACATCAGTAGCCATCTCGACTGCAGAAGCTGAGTATGTTGCAGCTGGGAGATGTTGTGCTCAGCTCTTATGGATTCAAAATCAGCTTCTCGACTATGGGATCAAGTTCTCAAAGACTCCCATATATTGTGATAACACCAGTGCCATTCAAATCACACAAAACCCTGTTCAGCACTAAAAAACGAAGCATATCGAAATCAGACATCATTTCATCAGAGATAACATTGAGAAAGGAAAGATTGTTCTTGAACATGTCAAGACTTCAGAGCAACTTGCTGATATCTTCACTAAGGCACTGGATTCTCAAACAACTGCTTACATTATTGGAGAACTTGGAATGATTACCTTGTAATTAATTTTGCTGATTAATTTTGCTAATGTTTGGTATTGTCTTATAAGCTGATGTCCATTTTGCTGATGATGACATGCTGATGATATTTGCATACTAAGTACTTGGTTTGATCTCCTATCTTTCTCTCTTCTTCAACTCTTCTTAACTAAAGTTGAATTATTCACTGTATTAAACCATACACTGATAACAACTTGAAACTCTTTGCCGATGGTTAGATCGAAACACCAAGATCTATCACACGCAACTATCTCTTCTTACCAATCTTACACTGATTCCGTGATTCAGTGTGACAAAACACACACTGATGAGAATCTAAAAATCTTTGCCGATGGTTAGACCAAAACACCAAGGTTTATCACACACAACTATCCTTCCTTTACCTTCTTCTCATTCAGTGTCTAATGATTCAGTAAGATAAACCTCTCACTGATAAAGACACAACACTCTGTGCCGATGGTTAGATAATGCAACTAGTATCTATCACACGCACCAATCTCCTTGCTAGCCCCAACTGAGCAAGTTGTACCTTGAATTGACGGAGAGATATCCTCAGCATGTAACTTTTGTGGCACTGATCTTAGTGCTTCCGCAAACACTAATTGACGTTTCATCTTCAGTCAATGGCTCTTTTACTCAACGGCTATTTTTTGATCTGACAGGTTGTCACGATACGCCGTTATTTTTGAAGAAGATAATCATTACCTTTTCTAAAAGATCCGTTTCATTCCATATTTAATCCTCTTTCGCCCTTATTTCAAACTTTCCTTCCACAATCTACACTTCCTTCACTTATATTCAAAACCCTAGCACCCTAAAAAACTCTCTAATGGCGGCATCTGTGTTCACTTTCTCCTCTACTTCACGAAGGGTAGTTCCTGCCCCAAACTCTCCTCCTCTTCCTATATACATCAAAGCCACCAACGTTGTTTTCAACCCTGATATTCCCGATGTTCATCGAGGTCTTGGACTCGATGATTTTGTTAATTTCTTGGCCTCCTGCCGCCTACGATACGCTATCAGTGACATTCCATCAGAGTTCTTCCCTGAACAAGTCTGTGAATTCTACTACACCGCAACAGTCAATGATGAAAACAATGTCATCACCGGGACCATTGGCCGTGGAAGACACTCTGTCTTTATTACAGCAGAACTTCTCAGTGCTGCACTCAGGTTACCTATCTTTGAACCATTCTCTGAACTTCCTTCTATTGAACGTTCTCGACGTCTATTCGATCAACTGGGATATGATCACTCAAAGGCTGGTGCTTGATCAGCTCTTGTTCTACGCCAATATATGACCCCAGGATGGAAGTTCTTCACCGGTGCTTTGAGAAAATGTGTGGGTCATAAGTCTCGAAGTGGTGATCAACTAAGCACCTATGAGCAACAAATCGTCTGCTCACTGCTTCTCAACAAAAGACTTGACTATGGGGCTTTTTTCTTTGATCAACTTGTTCAGCTTCTTCATGCAAATGTACGCGCTGATCACGTTCCCTTCCCACGCTGGATTGCTCTCGTACTCGATAAATTCTTTGCTGCAGATTACTTCTCGCACTCTGGAAATCCTATTCAATGCCCTCGCATGTCAATTCGAATGTATCAAGATGATCCGCTGGATACTGACATCGGAATATTTGATAGGATGAGGGAATGGATTGCAAACCCATACACTGTTCCTTCACTCACCGCTGATACTGATGAAGGAGGAGCTGATGGTAACAATGAAGATCCTGCTGGTCAAGAGGATGAAGCATATGATTGTGGTCATTTCTCCCCTCAACTTTCTCATCATATCGTCTCTGTTACTGAGAAAGTTCAGTCAGCTCAAAAGGATTCACTGATTCCGGGGGAGCAACAATTTCAGGGGGAGCAACAATCTCAGGGGGAGCATCCCTCACAGGGGGAGAATCCACCCCAAAGGAGACCACTCTTCTCCGGGGATGCCACCACACTCACACGCAGCTCCAGGTGCTTCATTCGTTCAAATTCCAGCCTCAGCATTTAATGAACTTCTGACACTGACTCGGGACATGAGTGAACGTCTTCTATGCATTGAGGCTGATGTTCATCAGCTTAAGGAAGTTCTCTTGCATACTCCTTCCTCCAGCCCTCAATCTGATGATGCTAAAAAAAGGGGGAGATACTGATACTGATGATGATGATGATGCTGATGATAATGCTGATCATGATAATGATGATGAAAATCCAAAAGAGAAAGACACCGAACATGCTGACAACTCCTTAGTTCAGACTGAGCCACCAAAGCAGATGCCCGAGTCTGACTTTATGAAGCCTAATAGTCCTGCGTATACTGAAAAGCGTGTTGAAGACAGTGAGCATGATGATGAATAAGATGATGAATGTCAAATACTGGATATGAACTTCATTGATCCCTTTATTCCAGTTCAAGAAGAAGATTCAGATGATCTTGATAATGAATCGCAAAGGCCAGACATAAAAGTCGTTGATCCCACTGTTGATCCCATTATTCCGGTCCAAGGAGAAGATTCAGACGTTGCTAGTGAAGATTCTCATCCGTTATCTCGCAAGCGAAAGGTAGCAGATACTGACTTGGCTCATTCACACAATGATACTTCTTTGTCTTGCAAGAAGCCCAAGTCCATAGTCAGTATATCAAATTTGGCGGCTGAATGGAATATGTCTTCTGATCAAGTTAAGCAAATTCTTGATGAAGCTAATCAAGCTCAGCTTCTAAAGAACATTGCTCAAGCTGATGGATCTCTCATTCAGCATAAACTTCAGGCCAAAGGATCTTTTGAAGCTCAGATGCAGAAATTCTTGGAATTTTAGTCCAAATCTCAATCTTCTCAGCCTCCTCCTAGCAGCAGTAAGCCGAAGACTGATAGTGTTCTAGATAGGATTGATCGAAAGAGGTTTGAAGATGTTCTTAAACGACGAGTGTGTTGTGATAAGATCATCAAAGTTAAAGCTTCCAAACCACGCAATGAGAAAATTCTTAAGTTACTGATCACTCGTGAAGGTCCACAACATTCATACACTGAAGTTGTCAAGAGGGATGAGTTGATCAAATATGGATATTCTGAATGGATGGAATTGCTCAAATTAGCATCCAAGCAAACCTCAGCTCACTCGTCTGAACTGACATGTGCTCTTCATCTGCTGATCAAGAAAGTTCAGCGTTTGGACCTTGTTCCTAAAGAACGACCTCAGCATCAAGGCCAAAGGTCATCTATTCCTAGAACTCGAAGAAAAAAATTTCAAGTTGATTGTGAAGACGTGTTGGTTCTAGACTTTGGTGCTGGTGGGATAAACAATTCTCTTCCTATCAGTGTTGACCAAGTTCAACATAAGTTTATCTCAGTTCCTGAACACGGGATGTTCTATCTCGATAAAAACAGAAAGATGTGTTTTCAGCGAACTGCTGAGATCCCAAAGGCTCCAACCACTCATCTCGTTGGCTTAAGGCAAATGTGCATGAGTCATCAAGATCTCTCCGGAGAGTTTCATATCCTTATCACCATGGAGCTGCTGAATAGAAGATAGGAGTTGCTGGATAGTCCTTACTGGCCAGTAAAAATAGAAGCTGAAGCTGAGTATGAAGAGTTCTTGTCTAGAGGTGTTTTAATTTAGTTGGTTTTGAACATCATCATAGTGGAGGAGATTGTAAGGTCAAACCTTGAAATATGATGATGTTTCAAATAGATCTCAGTGTCAGCATCAGCGTGTCAGCAGCTTAGCTTGTTTAGTTTAGTCAGTGCATTATAACAGATTTTATACTTATCGTGTTTCCATAGTTAGCTTAAATTTGTTAGCTGGCATATCCCTAGTTTGTAGGGATTGTCTAGTATAGTAGTATATAATCTTTTGTATCGGTTTGTGAAACACTACACCTTTCACAAACCCTAATCGCTGCTTTGTGCACACGATAATATCTTTGTGAGATTATCTTTCTTAGTGAAAGTTTTTCTTTGTGAATTCTTCTTATTCTTATTTATTGTTATTGTTTGATAATTTGATTGACCTAAAGGACTTTTTAGTGTTACATTTAAAGAAATTAATATTATTTTAATATGTTTGTCACTATTTAAGATGAGTATGAGAATATGTAGAAAGAAAATATAACTGTTGGATTAGGTGTCTAAGCCCATAACTATAATTGGTATGTATTTGATTTGATAGTAGCATGGTCTTTTTTGGTTGCCTTCACCATAGCAACTTGACAGTATGTCTTTTGGAGAAAAAGGTTAATAAATGATTTATTAGTATATTATAAAAATAATATTTTATTTAGAAATCATATTGTTTATTAGTATTTAATCAGAAACTAATTTGATAATAAATTTCAGATTAAAGGAACTGATTAAAAAAACGGGGACTGGTTTTGCAAATCATTGATAGTTGGAAAGTTGGGCCGATGGACTCCTTTGGGAAGAGTGGATGAAGTCTATAGCAGGACCTACAAAATTTCATCCAAGGCTTTTATTGTGGAGGTCCATAGACTGCTTAAGGCCTAAGCAAGGAATTTAGGTTTGCAACTGAGAACCCTAGCAGCCTCAACTGTATAAGGAACCCCTAGCATAGCATTTTTGGCCCTATGCTTTCTTAGAGAACCCTAGCAAAAAAATGTAGTGCTTTACCACATCTCTCCTCTCATCCTTTGTTATTGGTGTTTGTGACTCCATTATAGGTGCAACATTTGAGGCACTAAAGCTTTCAAGAGTCAAGATCATCCAAGGAATTCTTATTATTATGAGATAGCAAGCAAGGTAATCTTCTAACCCTAGTTTTCATATGGATTTCGAATTGTATGATGGTATTAGGGTTATTGCTTTGGAATTTATATTTGTATGTATAAGTAGTGAAAAACTTAGATCCAAAGCAATTAGGGTTGCATGAACACATAGGAATGTTGTTGTGCTTAAAACCATCATTAGTATCAAAGCCTAGGATGTTTTTTAGTTATATTTGATGCAATAGTGATCTGTCCAAATCGATTGCAAAACAGAATTCGCTTTCTGTTTGAAAAAATCGAAGAGTTCTATGATGAACTCGACGAGTCCATAGCCTAACTTGACGAGTTAGCTCATCTGTTAGCTAGTTTTTCGATTTTGTTTGGATTTGGATAATTGCCATAATTCGATTTTAATACCTTAAATTGAATTTTCTGATTGATAATCTGATTTCCTTATCAAATAACATGAATTTGGTCAAATTTTAAGATAATAACAAAATTATTTGATTAATTTAATTATTTGAAATTTGATCTAGTAATTTTGAAAAGTTTCAAATTGCACCCTTTAGTTTTAGAATTTAAAATTTAATTAAAAGATTAATTTTGAAATACTAAATTCTAAAAACCCTAGTATTTTAAAAGTTTAAAACACAACCTTATACTATTATAATATTAAAAGTTAAAATTATATATATGTATTAGATGAGTCAGTCTTACCGTTAATAGGCCTCATTCACGAAGCCGATCTATAAGAGGGGGGGGGGGGGTATAAGGAAACTACCTATAAAATAGCGGTTTAATGGGTGTTCACTCTCACCCACCGCTTCCTTGATTGGTGCAGAGTCGTTAGCCGAATAGGTGGGATATGACATTAATTCTCTCATTAATAAGTATAATGATAAATATAAAGTAACTAAAGTTTTTATAAATTCCCAATCTTAATTACTTTAGGAAAATATGAATTTGATCCTAATCCATGAAATTGGACATTGCACTTTGTCAAGTCATTAGTGGAGCGTGTGTGGTTAACTGACATACTAACATGGAATAACAAAGAGTGGAAATGGGTAGCTCGTAAATTATCATTAATCAAAAGAGCGTGGGTGGTTAACCGACACATTGATTAGGCGGTAAATGACATCGAGAGTACCAAGCTAAGTTGCATGGTAATTCACACCTTGTTTGTGATCCTTGGTATCCTAGTCACAAACTTGAAGGGCATAATCGAGATTAAACATGCCATTGAATAGTTCAATGAATCTCAAAAGATCTAGAAATTTCATTTAATAAAACCTAATTTATTTAAATTTCGTTTTTCATGGTGGAATTGGTAAATCATCATTTACCTACCTTCAAATAATTTACAACTAGATTATGGCATCCCTCTTCCGAATTGTGAATTATTGTGTTGGGTCCTAACCTTGATATTTCATTTTGGGTGTTATATTAAGCATTTCCTATCTAATCAAAAACTTTTCTTTCTTCCTTTTTATATGTCTAGACCAAACAACGTTTCTGGCTCAAACTCCTCCAACAACAACTCCTTCAACCCACTC